CCAGATACTGGTCAAAGGACATTTAATAGAATGCCAAGCTTGCAAACTTTGTGTTTTGTTTGTTTGTTTGTTAAAAAGTGCAACACAAGTGTTTGGTCTGCTCCTGACCCAATAAATAAATAAAATATATGTATTTTATATATGGCATCGAATTGTGCCAATCTGTTCACCACCCTGAGTCGCTTTCGGGCTGGTATGGGCGGGGTAGAAGTAAAGTAAATAAATAGTCTTTACCTTTCTCTGCCAAAAAGTATATCAACAAACTATGATCCCATAGCATGGAGCCATGACAGTGAAAACAGTGTCAAAGCCCATTCATTCTACAGTGCAGATGCTCCCTCAAGGTGTGAGCAAAACTAGATGGGAAGGATGGGTTCCAAAGAAAGTGCTTTGAGGTTGCCTTTCTTTGCCTCTCCTCTCTGGAAAGGCTTGGAGAGGTGTATGAGGCTCCCCCTTGTCTTCCTATCCTGGCAGCCTCCTTTGTCCCCTCCCTCTTTCTGCCCCCTCCTTCCCTCCCTCCCTCTGCTCCTGGCCCACAGTCCCCTCCCTCCCCACACCTGACGTCAGCCTTTTTGGGGGCTTCTCCCTCCCTGAAAGCTTCCTTCGCTTGTAGAGTCTCACTTGAGCCTGAGACGCACCAGAGTCACCATGCGCCCTTCTCTCCTCTCCTCCGCCTTGGGATGCCTCTGGCTGGCCATCCTTTGCACCAAAGGTGAGCGCCGTGGAGGAGCTGTGTGTGCATGTGTGTGTGTGTATTAATGTGCAGCCCAGACCTTTCCACGAGTTCTCCCTCCGCTTTTGTTGGCCAACTCCTTTTCCCTCTCCCTCTTTCTTTCTTTGCCTTTCTTTGCGCCTTTACGCACACAACTGCAGGGGTTGTCCCTCAATTGAGGTGGGGTCTTCCAGGGGGGATCTGGAGGGGAGATTTGTATCCTTGCACACACACACAACCCGAGCCATTAAACAAGGCAGTTTGGGGACTTTTTCCCAGTGCAATTTGGGGACTTTTGTCTCGGTCCAATTTGGAGACCCTTTTCTCAGTGCAGTTTGGAGAGCCTTTTCTCACTGCCCACCGCCTTGTCCAGATCTATAGGGATTTGTGTATTATGGGGAGGTGGGATTTGGTGGGATTTTTAATTTTGCAACACCCCCACCCTCCGAGCCATCAAAAAATCGAATTAGTTGAGCATTTTTTCAGTATAATTTGGGGAAACTTTTCTCACTGCAATTTGGAGACATTTCACACACAATGCAATTTGGGGAGCTTTTCTCTCTGCCCACTCCTTATCCATATCTACAGGGATTTGCTTAAGATTCCTGAATTGAGGTGGGGTCTTGGAGCATGTGTATCCTTAAGGGAGTGTGTGTTGATCTTTGCAGCTCTCACTCCAGTCACCAGACAATGCAATTGGGGGATTTTTTTTCAATGCACTTTGGGGGACTCTACACCCACAGTGCAATTTGGGGAGCTTTTCTCTCTGCACCATCCTTATCCATATCTACAGGGATTGTCTTCAGATTCCTGAATTGAGGTGGGGTCTTGGAGCATGTGGATATGTAAGGGAGTGTGTGTTGATTTTTGCAGCTCCCACTTGAACCACCATACAATGCAATTGGGGGAATTTTCACCCACTGTGCAATTTGGGGAGCTTTCCTATCTGCCCACTCCTTATCCAGATCTAAAAGGATTTGCTTGAAATTCCTGAATTGAGGTGGGGTCCTGGATCATGTGGATCCTTAAGGGAGTGTGTGTTGGATTTTTGCAGCTCCCACTTCAGCCACCAGACATTACAACTGTAGGACTTTTYCCCAATGCAGTTTGGGGACTTTTCACCCACAATGCAAATTGGGGAGCTTTTCTCTTTGCCCACTCCTTATCCATATCTRCAGGGATGGTATTCAGATTCCTGAATTGAGGTGGGGTCTTGGAACATGTGGATCCTTAGGGGACTGTGTGTTGATTTTTGCAGCTCCCACTCTTGCCACCAGACAATGCAACTGGGGGGCTTTTCACCCATAGTGCAATTTGGGGACCTTTTCTTTCTGCCCACTCCTTATCCATATCTACAGGGATTGTCTTCAGATTCCTGAATTGAGGTGGGGTCTTGGGAGCATGTGTATCCTGAAGGGACTGTGTGTTGGATTTTTGCAGCTCCCACTCTAGCTACCAGACAATGCAACTGGGGGGCTTTTCACCCACAGTGCAATTTGGGGACCTTTTCTCTCTGCCCACTCCTTATCCATATCTACAGGGATTGTCTTCAGATTCTGAATTGAGGTGGGGTCCTGGATCATGTGTATCCTGAAGGGACTGTGTGTTGACTTTTTGCAGCTACCACTCTAGCCACCAGACAATGCAACTGGGGGGCTTTTCACCCACAGTGCAATTTGGGGAGCTTTTCTCGCTGCCCACTCCTGATCCATATCTACAGGGATTTGCTTAAGATTCCTGAATTGAGGTGGGGTCCTGGATCATGTGGATCCTTAAGGGAGTGTGTGTTGACTTTTGCAGCTACCACTCGAACCACAAGACAATGCAATTGGGGGACTTTTTCCTCAATGCAGTTTGGGGACTTTGAACCCACAGTGCAATTTGGGGACACTTTTCTCTCTGCCCGCTCCCTTCGTTTGGCTAAACCTTCAGGGATTTCTTACCATTCCTGAATTTCGGTCTTTCAGGAGGAGAAATGGTTAGGATTTTCTGTCATTTTGCACCCCACCCTACCTCCCCAGCCTAGTAAACAAAGCAATTGGGGAACCTTTTCAAATTGGGTCCTTTTTTCTTCATCCCATTCTCTTCTTCCTTCTCCAAATCTATAAGATTCCTGAATTGAGGTGGGGTCTTGGAAGGTGTATTTTATATTTTCACACTCCCCCATCAATCAGAGATTTGGGGGTGTCCCTTGCCCTCCCTTCTTGCTCATCAACCTGCAGAGATTTCTTATTATTCTTGAATTGGCATGAGCGTGGAAGGTGGACAGTTGCGGAAATGGGGAGAAAATGCCTTTGTATTTTGGCACTTTTGCCTTCACATGAGGCTGTGCTATTTGGGGAGGGGGCGACCATGGCAGGAAACCCTCCAAAGGGTGGAGAACCCGTTGTCTAAATTGGGGAGGTGAGCTTTGTTTAAGGAGGAGAGGTTGAGAGGGGCAGTGCCTACAATTTTGCAGTGGAGTAGCATCCAGTTGCCTCCTCCTTCTTTTTTTTTGCAACACTACACACCCACTTTTCCCTCCCCTCCCCTTTCAAGCTACTACTACAGCGTGTAGCAGCTACTGGAAAGGCATTGCAACTGGTGGAAAAGGGAAAAATATAGGCGGGAGGCTGAGTTTTGTGCAAAATGGGCAGACTGTATTGCGGGAGGGTGGGCCAGACTTATGAAAATATGGAAATCTTGAAGAGCCTTACTTTTGCAAAACGATTTCCACACCCCTGCCTCCTTTCTCCCATCTTTTGGGTTATTGTCTGAAACATTGGCGGCATCAGACTGTCTCAGTCCTGCGGGTGATAATTTTGGTTGTGAAAAGGATATGTGTGTGTATGTATGTGTGTATTGTGGGTGATACTCTAAGAAAGGGGCACCCACAACTTACAGGCACCTGTGATTACTATTTTTAGGAATGAGGAGGGCATCAAAAATAGGGTGTGTCAGTGTGTTTTGAAGACATATGAAAAGGCACATTTATCGTGGGTTGCTTTTGAACCCTTCTAAGCAAAGACTGGGAACCCCGCTATCCCACCCTTCAAAAGACGCTGCAGAAAGCAATGGATGATCCAGCCAGAGTAGACCCATTGACCCAAAGGGATTTGCACAAGTGTCAGGTAAAGGTTTCCCCTTGACATTAAGTCTAGTCGAGTCCTACTCTGGGGAGGGTTACTCATTTAAGCCAAAGTGCCGGCGTTGTCCATAGATACCTCCAAGGTCATGTGATCGGCATGACTGCATGGAGTACCGTTAGTAAAGGTAAAGGTAGTCCCCTGACATTAAGTCCAGTCATGTCTGACTCTGGGGTGTGGTGCTCATCTCCATTTCTAAGCAAAAGAGCCAGCGTTGTCCGTAGACACCTCCAAGGTCATGTGGCCGCATGACTGCATGGAGCGCCGTTACCTTCCCGCCGGAGCGGTACCTATTGATCTACTCACATTTGCATGTTTTCGAACTGCTAGGTTGGCAGAAGCTAGGGCTGACAGCGGAAGCTCATGCCGCTCCCTGGAATCGAACCTGCAACCTTTCGATCAACAAGCTCAGCAGCTCAGTGCTTTAACCCACTGCGCCACCGGGGGCCCTTTTTACAGTGTTTTTATGATTTTTTTTATTGTATCAGGAGCAACTTGAGAAACTGCAAGTCGCTTCTGGGTGTGAGAGAATTGGCCGTCTGCAAGGACGTTGCCCAGGGGACGCCCAGATGATTTGATATTTTTTTATCATCCTTGTGGGAGGCTTCTCTCATGTCCCCGCATGAGGAGCTGGAGCTGATAGAGGGAACTCATCCTGTCGGTCTTCAGTCCTGCCGGCACAGGGGCTTAACCCACTGCGCCACCGGGGGCTCCACCTTCCAGCTGAAGCAGTACCTATTGATCTACTCACATTTGCATGTTTTCGAACTGTTAGGTTAGCGGAAGCTGGGGCTAACAGCAGGAGCTCACCCCTCTACCCCGGATTCGAACTGCTGACCTTTCAATCAGCAAGTTATGCAACTTAGTGGTTTAAACCACTGAACCACAGAGCCCAGGGAACCCCACTATCCCACCCTTAAAAGGACATTGCAGAAAACAATTGCTGATCCACCCATTGACCCAAAAGGATTTGCACAAGTGTCAAATAATTTATGTATTTATATCTCATAATATTTTGATGGAGTCCCTGGTGGTGCAGCGGGTTAAACCACTAAGCTGCTGAACTTGCTGACCGAAAGGTCGGTGGTTTGAATCCGGGGGGCGGGGTGAGCTCCCACTGTTAGCCCCAGCTTCTGCCAACCTAGCAGTTCGAAAACACATAAATGTGAATAGATCAAGATATACTGCTCTAGCGGGAAGGTAATGGTGCTACATGGAGTCAAATATGAGTAGATCAATAGGTACCGCTTTGGTGGGGAAGGTAACGGCGCTCTATGCAGTCATGCCGACCAAATCACCTTGGAGGTGTCTATGGACAACGCCGGCTCTTCAGCTTTGAAATGGAGGTGAGCACCAACACTCAGAGTCTGACTTCAGTAGACTTATTTTCTAGGGGAAACCAGACTCGGGGGTTCTCAACCTGGGGTCCCCAGATGTTGTTGCCTTCAACTCCCAGAAATCCTAACAGCTGCTCAACTGGCTGGGATTTCTGGATTGTAGGCCAAAAACATCTGGGGACCCCAGGTTGAGAACCACTAAGGGGGGACTCCAAGCAGTTCATGATCCTAACGTGGTTGGTGAGGGGAGAGGCTGTTTCCAATCTCCCTGACACATCCAATCTTGTTTTTCCTACTATGCCAATGTGGGGTTCACACACTCACCAGTTGGGTTGGAGGTCCACATCGCACCCCACGGCTGAAGTCTCTGTGGGGTTATTTACTGCTATTGTACAAGCTGGAGAGGGGAAAACTAGATCTGGGTGGAAAAGGGATTTGTTTCATTTTGCTTGTCTGCACATGTCTACCCATGTACAGGGGCTTGTGCTGGTGTACATTTCTGGTAACGAGTGCCTATCTTTCAAAGAGGGAGGAAAGGGGGACCCCCCACCCACCCCAACTGGAAGAAGCAGAGGGATAATAATAAGGGTTTTTGATAACTTGTCTTGCAAATCCCTGTTGGGTTGACAGGTGGATGGATTGTGAAATGAGGACAGGAAGGGGGGTGGGTTCAGCCCACAGGCGCACACCCCATGCGCTGTCTGGGAACAATGCGCCCGTCTGAGATGCAGATGAAGGAGAAAGTGTTTGTGTGTCTGAGCGCTTGGGGTGACCCTGTTCAGGGTTGGGCGCCCAAACAAGGAGAAATGCCATCTTCCCAAAGCAGTGTGCTCCTCGAGATTTGTGAGAGTTGTTGCTATCTGCCACTCCTCTGAGACCAAAGGTCAGCTGCCCAACAGCTCTCTGTTTGGGTTGCTGTGAGTTTTCCAGGCTGTATGGCTATGTTCCAGAAGCATTCTCTCCTGACATTTTGCAAAACACAGCAGGAATCCTCAGAGGTTGTGAGCTCTCTGTTTCATCAGGAGGGGATCCTAAAGGTCATCTAGTCCAGCCCAACTTCCCCACTTTAGCCATTTTTTTGGTTCGTTGTAGGAAAGGTGTTCCCCATCATCTGTGTTATCAGAAGGGCTCCTGAAGGTCATGTAGCCCAATCCTCGTGTCACTCTTGTAGGATTTGGTTGACTCTAGGAAACTCACCCGAAGGGACCCTGAAGATCATGTAGTCCAACTTTCAGGACCCTGAAGATCATGTAGTCCAACCTTCGGCACCCTGAAGATCACGTAACCGAACCTTTGGGACCCTGAAGATCACGTAGTCCAACCTTCGAGACCCTGAAGATCGCTTAGTCCAACCTTCGGGACCCTGAAGATCATGTAATCCAACCTTCGGGACCCTGAAGATCACGTAGTCCAACCTTCGGAACCCTGAAGATCATGTAGTCCAACCTTCGGGACCCTGAAGATCACGTCCAACCTTCGGGACCTTGTAGATCGCGTAGTCCAACCTTCGGGACCTTGTAGATCGCGTAGTCCAACCTTCGGGACCCTGAAGATCGCGTAGTCCAACCTTTGGGACCCGGAAGATCGCGTAGTCCAACCTTCGGGACCCTGAAGATCACATAGTCCAACCTTCGGGACCCTGAAGATCATGTAGTCCAACCTTCGGGACACTGAAGATCACGTAGCCCAACCTTTGGGACCCTGAAGATCACGTAGTCCTACCTTCGGGACCCTGAAGATCGCGTAGTCCAACCTTCGGGACCCGGAAGATCGCGTAATCCAACCTTCGGGAACTTGAAGATCACATAGCTCAACCTTTGGGATCCTGAAGATCACGTAGTCCAACCTTCGGGATCCTGAAGAACATATAGTACAACCTTCTTTTCACATTTTTTGTAGGATCTTGGTTGGGCCTTCAGAAAGTTGTTCCCCATCACCTCTTTCGTCACAAAGGATACTAACCATCATTCTGCCCAACCTTTTGCACACTTTTATAGGGGTTTGATTGGACCAAGGAAAGATGTTCCTCACTTTTGGTTTCATCAGAAAGGACTCCAATGATCATGTAGTCCAACTCTGGTTGAATCTACATTATGGAATTCATACAGGTTGACAACACTTTGACTGCCATGACTCAATGTTATGGAACCCCAGGAGTTATAGTTTGGTGAGACACCATCACACTTCATTAGAGAAGGCCAAAAAGACCTTGGACAACTGAAGCTCCCATGATTCCATAGTATTAACCTCCCTCTTTTCACACTTTTGTAGGGTTTTGTTTACACCAATGGTGCATTTGAATGGGATGCCATTCATGAACCAGTTTTTGGTCAACGCTTAGTAATGGGCTTTTTGTATGGAATCACAACACCCAAAATCCCACAGCCACTCCCAGAAAGCTGGCTAGGAGATGATGGGAATTGTAGTATGACTTTTCCTAGCTCTGATATTTGCTCAGATGCATTTCAACCTGGTTTCTCACTATAACAGAAATCTTGCTGGGATGGAAAGCTTGCGTTGATAAAAATGTCTTGTTGGAAGGGATCCCAGAGGTCATCTAGTCCACCCCTTAAATGCAGATCG